ATCTTTTGCAATAAAACAAAACATAACCTAAAATAAAATATATAAGGCTACTAAAATAACTCTTAAAATATCTTTAGAATATTTGTAGGCGACCCTGCTCTCTTCATTATTTACAAAAATTATAAATTTTGGTATTTTCGGACCGCTGGGACCGACCATAGGGGTATACATATATATATATATATATATATATATATATATATATATATATATATATATATATATATATATATATATATATATATATATATATATATATATATATATATATATATATATATATGTATATATATATATATATATATATATATATATATATATATATATATATATATATATATATATATATATATATATATATATATGTATACCCCTGTTTTACTAAAAATTCAAAATTATTTTTCTTTTTTTAAATAGTTTTTTATTAATAGATAAGTTGAAAAATTTGTAATTTAAAAATATTATTTAAGCAATTTGTCGCTATTTGTTTACATTTTTGTTCTTACTGGCCTCGTGTTTATGTTGTGAAAATAGTTGCGCAATCGAGTTAGAGTGATGTTTATTACAACGAAAAATTAAAAAAATTATCAGGATACATTTATTTATGTTTTAAATGAAGTAGCCTAACGTCAATATATTTAATTACCATACAAAAAGTTCGAGTTATCTGAAGAATGTTGCTAAAAGGGGGCGAAAAAAATGGTTCAACTTAACGATATTTAAGTTGGATGTTTTTAAGGGACCAGTTGTAGCAGTTCGTGATAATAAAAGTTTGAGTTAATCGGTATTCGACTTGGGAACTAACTGATCTGCTTCCGAAATTAGCAGCTCGTTTTATATACTGGTATCTATTATGCTACCGTTCGTTAATTGGTACCATTTTGTAACGCAGATGAGCATTTAATTGGAAGTTCACGCCTCCTTCCTAACCAATGTCACTAAACTAACTTATAATCAAATCAAATCAAATCAAATATATATATTCTGAATAAAGTTGTTACATCAAGGATATTTACAAATAGTAATTTGTACTAATATAAAGTAAACACCTGTCAAACTAAATAAAAATAAGATGGAGATAGTAATAATAATAATTATAATACAAGTAGGAATAATAAAAGTAATAGTAGTGATTACAGTGATAAAAAAAAATAATAGTAGCGATTATAAAAAGAATATACTATAATAATAATAATAATAATAATAATAACAACAAAAATAATAACAACAACAATAATAGCAATTACAATAATATTCATTATGAGAAAAATATAGCAATAATAACAACAACAGTGATAAGAGAATGCTATAGAAACATATCAGTTTATAATAATAAATTTAACAATTGATATTAAAATTATTAATATATCACGATAGAAAAGTGAAAAAGTAAAAGATGAATAGAAGCACCGCGTTAGGGTTATAAATAATAAGTTGTAAAAAGGTATAAGATTTATAAAGAGTATTTTTCTAAAAAAATTGTTAAAGAGAGCAGTTTTAAATTTTGAGAATGATTTAAGAGATTTTAATTGGGAAGGGAGATTGTTCCAGGTTTGTATGCTTTTATGTTGTATAGATTCGTAGCCGCAATGAACAGTTCGGTATTTAGATAATTTAAAGTTGAGATAATTTAAAGTTGAGAGCAGATCGTAGAATATATTTACAGTTTTCCCTATAACTAAAAAAGTTGATAAATGTAAGAAGTAAGTTATTATGATTTTGGTTTCAAACAAATAGACAATTTGATAGCTGAATAAGGTCACACAATTTAAGAACTTTAGATAAAAAATAGAGTATGCTACAGTTCAAATTAGTATGTTGAAAGTAAATTAATTTTAGAGCTTTGTTTTGGAGATAAGTTAGTCTTAAAAAAGCAAGCTGCTTAGATTGTCCTCAAACTTGGCAAGCATATCTGAGATGAGAGTGAAAAATAGCATGATATAAATTAAGCAAAGTTTCATGGTTAACAAAATGACGAATTTTGGCTAAAATACCATTCGATGTGCTTAATTTCAATGCTAAGTCTTGAAGATGCGATGCAAAAGATAAATTAGAGTCTATTTTGATTCCAAGATATTTAATAGAGTTAACTGGATTTATTTTTTGGCCACTTAATCTGAAATTTAATTGCTTATTTGTTTTTGTTTGAGCAGATTTAAATATAATAATTTCCGTTTTTTTAGAGTTAAGAGATAATTTATTGGAGCGGAACCATTGAACAACATTAGCTAGATCGTAATTCATATTTTTGTTAAGTTTGTTAAGTGATTTATTAATTAGGAGTAAGTTGGTGTCATCCGCGAAGTGATAAGCAATAGAAAATTTAAAAGAAACATTTAAATCATTGATAAAAATAAGAAAAAGTAATGGACCTAAAACCGAGCTTTGCGGAACACCATTAAAAGATTTAGCTAGTCCTGAGTTGATACCATTAATTAAAACAAATTATATTCTATTACAAAGATAAGAGGAAAACCAGAGAAAAAGAATACCTTTTATACCGTAGTGTTTCAATTTTTCTAAGAGGATTGTGTGCTCAACTGTATCAAATGCTTTTCTTATGTCAATAAACACTCCACACGCAAAGTGTTTATTATCGATGGCTTGTCTAATTTTCTCTGTTATTTCTATTAATGAATGAGTTGTTGAGTGTTTGTTGCGAAAACCATACTGGTGTTTGTAAATAAATTTATGTTTTTCCAAAAAATGCTCGAGTCTTTGGAACATTGCTTTTTCAAATAGTTTACTTAAGTTAGAAAGAAGTGAAATAGGTCGATAATTAGAGTAGTCTAGATAAGAGCCCATTTTGTGTATAGGATTTACTTTGACTACCTTAAAAGCTTCTGGAAAAATACCATTTTTGAAAGAATTATTCATCATAGTACATAGAGGTTTGGAGATTATAAGAGATACCAGCTTTAGTAAATTTGTTGGCAGACTCTTGGGACCAAGGCTTTTATTGTTTTTAAGAGTATCTTTTATGAGATTCGCCACCTCATTTTCAGTCACGGGATCAATGAAAAAAGAATTAATACTAGGTATTTTAAGAAAGTTGCCAAAAGCACATTTAGAGGGAACAGTATTTTTAAGTAGTTCGTCTTGAATAGTCGTAAAATAATTATTAAATATATTAGCAACACTGGTATGATCTGAGATGACATTTTCATTGATTTTGAGGTTAAAATACTTAGTAGAAGTAGATGGTTTGATGTTTATGATTTCCTTAATTCCTTTCCAGGTATTCTTTACATTATTGATGTTGTTATTGAAAAAAGATGCATAGTACAATTTTTTAGAATACCTTAACAAATTGCTAATTTTATTTCTGTATAACTTAAATTTAGTAAATAATATATTTTTTGTATTCACATTTTTTAATTATAGGTGGGGTTTGAACCATTGATCTTTGTTTTCTGAGGCAAGTGCGCTATCAAATCAGCGCAATCAAAAAATAAATCGCGTGCTCATGGCATTATTTCAATAATATAGGCTGAAGCAAGTTATCTGCAAAATAAGTAAGTGTTGCTAATTATTTGTCGCTTTGACAAAGAAATTAGCCTATTAAATTTTTGATGTTTTGAAAAATCACTATACGCGGCATTTTAACGTTCACTACAAGTGAACGTTAAAATAAAAAAAAAAAAAAAAATAGTTAAAGAATACCGGTAAACAGATCAAAAATATGATTATTATTTATAGAAACATCTATATTATTATTTATAGAAACATTTTTAAGTTTATATGCTTGACTCGGAATGGTATTCATGACTCAGAATGGGATTCATAAAATTAAAGATAAGCATCCAAAATTTGGCATAGTTTTTTAAAAATATATATGAGCAATTGTGCATTACAGCAAAAACACAATAAAACACTGCACATTATGTATTACATAACAGTAATTGTACAATGAAACATTGCATGTTTTACATCAATCACTCAACTAAATTATGTGAGTAATATCACAGTAGATGCATAATGAAATACGCCACTTTGCACATTATAACAAATACACAATGTTATATAGAACATCATAACAAATACACAATGAAATACGTTACAATGAAATACACTATATAGAATATCATAACAAATACACAATGAAATACGTTACGATGAAATACACTATATAGAACATCATAACAAATACACTATGAAACACAACATTGCTCATCTCAAGCATCATAATACCGTTTAAGAAAACTAAGAAATTTGTAATAAATACAATAAATATTTTGTGCTTATTTTTTAACTTTCAACTCAAATTTTAATTTAAGTAAGTTATCTAGTTTGCTTTTAAGTAAGACATGGTTTATTTTAAGCATTACTTAGTAAAGTGTTAATTCAACCCATTTATGTGCTAAACTAAGACTTCTTGCTATGTCTTAGTTAAACAAGTGAAAATCAATTATATGTATAATCATACATAATTACTTACTGTCGTTGTTTAAAGCTCTGAATATTTTATCTCTATCAGTAATTACTTAGTATTAATTACATAAGGTAAACAGGTAATACAACATTTATAACTTACTCCCTACCCTAAAAACATACGAGATAAGTTTATATTTACTCCGGTTTCAACATAATTAAGGTGTTTGTGTTTTTAAGGCGTACCTATCTGTATTTATAAACCTTTTTCAAAAGTTTTGTATAAAAATACATAATTTAAAATTTATTCTATTAAGACACCAAAATATTTTTTTCAGACACCTTTGGAATGTTTAGCGCCAGTTCTTTATATATATATATATAGATAAAAATATATATACTATTAAACATATATATACAATATAAATTTTTTTTAGTAACCAATTTGATTAAATTTTATGTTTTTATCCTTTAAATATATTATTATTATTATTATTATTATTATTGTTATTATTATTATTATTATTATTATTATTATATATATATATATATATATATATATATATATATATATATATATATATATATATATATATATATATATATATATATGTATATATATTATATACTAAAAAATTCATTTTTTATATTACATTATTTTTTGATACAATTTTTTTATAAATAGGTTTCTTAGCTATGCATCTTGACTAACATTGTTGCTATTGTAAAGTATAAAGCTACTCTTGTTTAACGTATAAATCGAGTATTGTGATTTACATTAGTTCAAAGTATTGAATTGTCACTCAACTTATAATTCAATAAGGTAATTTCAGTCGAATCACATTTATGGTTTTGTGTAAAGCTTGGAATTTCTAATTTGTGCTTTTTTGAATTTTTTGTATGTTTATTTCTGCTTATAGCATAATAAGAAAATATATTCGATCGTGATTTTGTTTCCTGAATCGGATAAATGCAAAACTTGATAAAAATTCTTTTTGCCAGAGATTTTCGAATGTTTTTGTTCATTAAACCGTATAGCATCGGATTAATAAAAACGTTTGAATATATCACTAAGTTTCCTAACCACGTAATAACTCTTGGATGACAACCATTACATATCATGTTTGATGTTGCAAGAACAATAAAAGTTAACCAGCAAATCAAAAAGTTTCCAACTAGCAAAAAAACTGATTTTATTGTTTTATGATTGGTTTTACACCTAAGTTGCGTTCTTACTGAGTTTCTTCGAATTTGCTTTTTGTGCTTCTGAACGGTTGAAAATAAAAAAATATAAATACTCACCATTATGAGAACGGGCACTACAAAGTTTCCCAAAATCTGATAAAAAGCATACGATTTAGGAAAAGTTAAATAACAAATTCTATTTACAATAACAACTGCAGAGATTCCTTTGTAGTATATAGGAAACAAAGCTGAATTTAAAGTGTAGATCCAGCTTAAAGTTATCAATAAAATAATTTTATTTGTAGTAAAATATTTAAACTTTTTAAAAGGAAACTTGGTAGCTACAAATCTTTCAAATGTCAATAGTAGTAAATTTACAACAGATGAGGGAAGCGACAGCATAAACATTGTCTCTTTAAATCCACACAAAATTTTTCCATAAGGGTAATAACTTCTTAGTAGAAAATCAACATCGAACGGTGCAACTGCACAAGCCGTAATTAAATCAGAAACTGCAAGGTTCACAATAAAGGTATTTGTGATTGTGTGAAGATTTCTGTCCAAGTATATTATCATAATTAAGACGGAATTAAATATCAATCCTGAGAAAGAAATTACAAAGAAAAAACCTGCTAAGACACTTGAAGTTCCAGCACTTAATGCGTTTTCAGTTGTTACGTTATCCATCACTTTGCTAATAATTAAAAATTTATTTTGTGAATAATAATAATATAACACGTTATGATAATTTAATAGTATTCAAATATATAATACCGTTAAAAAAATAAACTAGGGTCTAATTTTTATTCAATACAAATACGGAGAAATTTTTTGAACTGTTAGAATCTTCTTGTAATACAATGTGAGCAAAAAATTATAAAAAAATCTACTAGTGTATATTTACATTATAAAAAAAAAAAAAAAAACATATTATAACTTACAAAAAAAATCGCAAATATAAATTTTAAGAAATTGTTGAAGTTATAAAACAATTTTAATACTATTTGATGTAAAAATTTTATACAAAATAATATTCGATGCAAAGTTTTGTTCCGAGTTTAAGTCTATTTTTTTTCCAAATTAATTATACTTGAAATTAGTTTTTATTTAATTCGTTTAGAAAAAAAAAAGAAAAAAGTGATGTTTGAAATTTCGTCATCATACATGTTTATATGAGTATACCAGTGCGTATCGTTAAAAAAAACCCAGGTTGCGTAGAAAATCTAGTTCTAAAACTATTAGAATCTTGCGCCACTTCGTAAACAAAGCAATGTCTCACCTAAAAGCTGAGTTCTTATCTCACCAATAAGTAGCAAATATATTTTGCAAAAAAAAAAAAAAAAAATAGCTGAAAAAAAAAGAGAGAGTTAAAAATAGAAAAAAAAAAGGTGCGATAAAATGAGCAACAAGATTTAGGTAACAACAATGCTTCTTAATAAACAATTAAATAATCTGTTACAGATAGAAAGTTAATTAACAGGTGTTGATTTATATATGTCGTTTGAAGAGCTTCAAAATAAATGCTGCTTAAAATGTAAATCGTTAACAGCATCAACTGATTTTTTTTTATTAAAAAAAAAAAAAAATTAAACCTTGCGAGTAGTTTTATGTTAATTTTTAAAGTTAGTATAAAATATAAACATTTAACTATTGTGAAAGTATAAACACGCATATCAATAAATGAAATGCATCTCGATAATTAAATGAATGTAGAAAAAAACCACGAAAAACCTTACTATTTTAAAAATTGATATCAACCTAAAGGGTAAAAAAAGATTTGTTCGAGTTATCAAGTTTTGTCCAGATGTTTTGTATTAAAAAACGCAGCATAAAGCATATTATCATATAATACTCGCAGAAACCCACACCATACGAGACCATACGGTCTCCTCGTCAAAAACTGCTTTATATATAACATAAATATTTTAAACAAACTTTACATAATCTAACATTTTAGTTTAAAGAAATAATAAATAAATAAAATAAATTCTTTAAAGTGAATCATTATAATATGTGGTCCTCATATATATGCGGACCACGTATAATTTAATGGTTATGGTGTATATATTATCGGTGATCATATGCACCATATCCGTTAAATTAATGCCAAGTGTAAATGTTTCAAAAATATTATAAAGATATGTTTGCTAAGATTGGATATATATATATATATATATATATATATATATATATATATTATATATATATATATATATATATATATATATATATATATATATATATATATATATATATATATATATATATATATATATATATATATATATATTAACGCATATATTTTTTTACAATGTGTGATAAGACTGTATGTCTGACACAGACGAAAGAATATTTTAAAACATTTTCTAAATATATTGAAAATAAACATAATATATAACAACTAGCCTTATCGATTTCACAACATAATAAAGGAAATCAGTGCTTTAAGTAGTTTAAAAAATCGTATTTTAATAATCTGAACACTTTTTAAAACGTAAACTTTTTCGTTTTAAAAAGTGAAAAACATTTAAATATTGATATTAAATCTTACTTTAACGTTCAATTTTTTTTTTACGTTAAAGTTTTAATATTATTATTTCTAAGCTCTTCTTATTTTGATTTTGCAATTGAATTTTCTTTGTGTTATTTTCTCCAGCTGATTCAATTTTTTTGCAGTTTTATTTTGTGTTATACTTTTTAAATTTAGATTGTTTTTTCTTTATTCTTTTTCAAAAAACTTTTCTCGCTATTCTTTAATAACGACAACGTCGTCTTAATGTCGACAACGTTGTCCTTATTAATACAAACAAGTTACGGGGATTTTAACAACTAAAATAAATATAATTTTTAAGTTTTTTTTCTAAAATGTTTTGTTAAGATGTTCTAGATCTTGTTTAGCGATGTCAATAATATGATTGGAGCGGATATTGTAACTCAGATCTTTTGACTATTTTGTGCTTCGGCTGAGAAACTCTTTCTGGATGAGTCATATGCTTTTAAGTTTGACAATGAGACTAATATTTCAAATAAAAACCTTTTTCAGTTAAGCCATGTCATTCAAAACTAATGGAAAACGTTATTTGCAACAGATTTTATCCATATATAGCTGAAAAAAATCATATTGCAGCCAATTTGATTTCAAAAAGAACCATTCTACAGACCGCGCAATAATAGAACTAATTAAATATAAAATACTAATTAAATATCAAATGCATTTTTTTATTGATTTATGCAAAGTTTTTTTTCACAATAAACCATAAAATAAATTTTAAAGAACTAAAAGACTATTAAGTTAAAATCAAAATGTACTTTGGTTTAAAAATACTTGACTTACATGTAGCAATTTATACTCAAAGATTAAAAAAGTAACCTAATAACTGGGGTACCTCAAGGTTCAATTTAAAACTATCATTAGTTTTGTTTTTTTTCAAATTTTTGTTTTGGGTGCCCCAAGAAGACCAGTTTTGTCATAGAACGAGGATGTCAGAGACCGAGGACGAGCATTTAATTAGGATGGTCACGCCTCTTTTTCCTCTTTTACTGGTTGCGCAAAATATGTCCAGAACTCGTTTCAAACCCTGGACCTCTTGCTTCTAAAGGAAGCGCTCTAACTATTGCGCCACAACCGCGTTTATCATTTTTATTTTATGTAAATGTCTGATAGCATCGATATGCTTAGTATCATATAAATGCTTATCATATAAATGCTTAGGATCAAAAACATTAAATACTATCTAATTATCTATTTTTTATTCTCACAACAATTTTAAATTTCTTTTGACAAAGAAATAGATAAAATAAACAAAGACTTCATAAGTAATTGATTTTCCTTGAATGTAAAGAAAATATATAATAATAAATAAAAGACTAAATTTGTCTTATATTTATTATTCCATAAACCTATTTTATTTCTCTTAAGTTATCCAATTGTTTAATAAATAAAACGGTAACTAATAGATAATCAAGTTCAAACATCCTGGTAGTAATTTTAGATAAAAAATTGTCTATGAGTTTTCATATTAGATATATTAAAAACAAGATTTTAAATTTTTTTTTTAAATCTTGTTCAAATACATTAATTAGTTAAAAATTATTAAATGTGTTAACTGAATATCCTAACATTAATTTTACATGTATAAATCCATATCTATTTGCTTTCTTTATGCTATCTTTCTAATTTGACTTTTCCTGACTTGCATTCTAAAATACTTCACTCGTTTTAAACTCACTTAATTTTGGCCCGTCATAGCTGGTTATGACGCTCTTTAGTGAGCTGAACACGTTTTAGCGGGCCTTGGTATGTGGCCTCTATATGGAAATTAGCCAGAGGAGGATAAACCACAATACCAAAAATATTTTCATGTTATATAAAACAAAAACTTTTCATAACAATGTACAAATAAAAAAGCTATATTTTTTGTTTATTTTTGCATTCATTTATCTTTTGTTACATATTTGTTTGTATTTTATTATTTATATTTTTCCATGGACATGTTATTTGCTGAAGTATTTTGCAGAGGTTTTGCTTGTATTTGCTTTTTTGTTTATTATTTATTATGTATTTAAATTTTAAACGTTTCCAAAACCATAAGTGTAACGGTGATAAGACAACTTGTATTGTTCTAGCTCCGCCCAAGTTTTGTCTTTCTGTAATTCTTGAAAAACAACAAATAAATTTGAAAAAATTTCAAAATTCTCAAAATTCTTATATTGAATACACACAACAAATTTTGAAAAACAACGAAAATTTTTGTTGTTTTTGAATAACAACAAATTTTGAAAATATTTCAAAATTCTTAAATGCATTGATGCATGAATTTTCCATGCTTTTGATTTTTACCTTTTTTTCTGGGAAATTTAAACGAACATTAAATGCACACAAATTTTTCACCTTAGTATTCTTTATTGTTCCAACATGTCTTTTTTTTATTAACAAATTTTTTAAAATACGTTTGAAGAACATTTTTCATTGTTGTTTTATCACAGCTGAAGATTTGTGACGCTTTACTTGTGTTATACTTTACAGAGTATTTGTCAAATGTATACAAGTACATATATATATATAAATATATATATATTTTTTGTGATAAGGTATCTATAAAACTAACCAAATATTCTACATCTGTTATTTATATATGTATGAAAATTCTTTTAAATTTACCCTATTTTACATCAAATGAGATCCAAAAAAATATCATAATAGTTCAACAGTTTACTTAATATATCAGAAATTGCTCACAGAAACTGTGAATAGTAGCAATGATGCCTGTGATGGCGCAACTTAAAAACAAAGGTCTAAATAGTTGGGATCAATTTTTAAACCGTTTTGTTTCAGGGAATATTTCTATACAATGTTTTAACTCATTTACAACAACTTGCTATGAATATGTTCATAAATACATTTTGGTATAAAATTAAACTTTTTTAAATATATAGTCAATAAAGCCATCCTGTAATATTAGTTTCAAAAAACACAACTCTGAAAATAGAAAATCATTTTCCTCTGAAATTTGTCTTTAATGTTTTGTTAATAACAATAAAATAATTTTTTAACGTAATAAAAAAATCAGCTTTTTTTTTTGAACAGACCTTGCCAAATCATTAGAAACACTGGCAAAAATTAGGAAAAAACACTTAGCATTTACTATGTGTTTCTTTATATAAAACATCCAAAAAAACAATATCATGTTGTTTATGAAATGAAACAATTCTTAATTGTACAATTTATGGAGAATTTTTTGTATTTAATTATTTTCAAATTTAATTTTCAAAAATTGATTTATTTATTTCTGAAAATCACTTATTTCAGGAACCCAGTAACCTTTTTTGCCGCCTGACAAGGAGCTACGTCTCTCATATAAGTTTAATTGCTGTTAGGAAACCATGCAGCCATTTATGATTTCAAAAATCTTGTCTATGTGCATAATTCCGTTCACAATAGATAAATTCAGAGCTCCCAAATTTTGGGGGAAACGTAATGTTTGACGGTTACAGAATCACATATTGGAGTAAGATTCCTGATTTTACTCTCATCACTGAAGCAAACCTGTAATCAAAAAACAATGTAAGGAATATAAAGCTCAGGATCTGCATTTACAGTTCGGCAAATTATATATTACACATTTAAGGCAATAAAAAAAAGTACGTACTGCATGTATATATAACTTAACATAATGACAAGAAATCCAAAATAATTAATTAAATGCATACATGTACATTGTACTGAAAGTAAACACTTTAAATAAAAATAAGTAAAAATAAAATAAAAAATTTAAATAAAAAAGAAAATGATTCTTATTATTATTTAAATAAAATAGAAACAAACACTACCTTTTTTGAGTCGTTAAAAGTCCTTTTTTTGTACTGACTCGGATAAATCATTCTTTTCTTCTTTATACCCGGTCTTAGTTTAGCTTTCTTCATAGGACGTCAATCCAGAATTACACAGTTGACGTCTCACAGTTCTGTGTGAAAACAACACGCCATACTCTGATACCTGACAAGTAAGATTGAGAATTGTTTTTCTACAATTGGATTTGCAGAGTTTGATCAGAGTCCGTTTGGTAGTTTGATACCAAAACGCCTCCTGTTATTTATACTTTTTTTCATAAAATCTTTTTTTCACATAAATCTAGACAAAGTTTCAATTCCTTTATAACTCTAATAACAAAAGCTGCAAAAATGTCACATTTCTCAGCAATCTACCTTTGACTGTCGTGCTACCCCTTAATGTTTTCACCCTTAATGTTTTACCCCTTAATGTTTTATCCCTTAATGTTTCCCCTAGTGTTTTCATTGCTGAAACCTTCCTCGGAGTTAAATCCTCGCATTACCCATTTTACGCGATAAAGCCAAATTTTTAAAAAATATTTTGATTTTTCAGTCAAATAACCTTTACCTATGAACAGAGAATAAAAACAATTTTAAAAATATAGATATAAATACACTAGAGCACTGAAATCTAATATACAACATTTTTTAGCAGTTTTTTAACAGTGGTTCTAATGATTTTGGTCTGCAATAGTTTATTCTTATGTTTTGATCATAGAAAAGTTAGATTAGTTAATATAATTTTTGATATTTTGGTTTTTTAATCTAAATTTTTTTTTTTAATTAGTATTTTTGCGCTTTTGGTTTAAAATACACAAACTTTTTTTATTAAATTTATATTTGTGCGCGTAAAAGACTCTAACACGCAGTACGCGCCAAAAGTACGCACAGTTTTTTTTTTAATTACGATATTCTCTATTGCAATGGTATTTTTACAGCATGGAGGTAAAAATTTGGTTTTACTAATAAAAGGAGGTTCTAAACTAAAATCTAGCTTTAAAACATTAACAATCAATGACAGACGGTTGTATTTGAGCATTAAGAAATCTGGTTAATAACAAAAATAAAAATACAATTACACAAGATCCGTTTGCTCTATTACACAAGATCCGTTTGCTCTATATATTTGCTTTTAGGTCAAAATCTAGTTCTAATATTAAAAAATGCTATAAAAATTTTAAGTTAATAGATCGAATAGAGTTTGAAAAATTGTTGTTTAAATTTAAGGAACTGTAACAAAATCCTATTTGTCAGAAAAAAAAAAGTTTAATTCAATTTTTTTTTTTAATAACACAATGAATTTTTCTCTGTTTCTTTCTTATTAATACTCATTTTACTTGTTATCTTTCTTGATCCTACTATTTTCTTCTTCTTCTTTTTTTTTTATTGCATAAAAGATAAAATATCTGTAAATTAAAAACATTCTTTTTCAAATCAATCTTATTTTATTTTCAGTATTACCCATATTTACTAAATCTATGAATATAAATAAAGGTATCAAAAACACATAAGCAATAATGTATATTACTGAGAGGGATAAACAATATAGGATGAAACATAACACAACACAAGCATCATAATTTTCTTTTCTACTTTAGAATGTCAGTATAATACTAAAACCATGGCTTGTAAATTGCAGAATGTCCTAAAACAAGGTTGAAAAACCGGAGATTGCATATTGCATTTCAAATTAAAACTTTTGGGGCTTTAAATAGGCAGACAAAACAAGAGTGACACGATTACTAAGGTGTTGCTTTGGATAAAAAAGATCACCATAGCCCATAAAAACGCAAATTTCTCTATCAAGGAACAACTATTTTAGCACAAACTATATATATTTGTGGAATCTGTAATGATTGAATTAGGTGATAAAGCAAAAACAAAAAAAAATTTAACATTTCTAATGACAATTTTTAATGACCCACTTTTCTGTGATTACAAAAATAAACTATTTTGCTGCAATTTGCTTTCTGGTAACAGCGATAAAAATAATTTTTTTTTTCTAACTTTGATAAAAACTTGTTTGCATTAAATTATTATTCTGTATAAATTATTCTTATATCTTTATATATAATTAATTTTCTGAAGTTTATAACAGAGTTTACAATTTATAAAAGCTCGTTGGAATAGAAAAAGCAAACAAATCTGTAAAAATTATAGCATCATTTACCAGGGATTGCGGCAGTTTTTTTGATGTTTTAGAAAGATAATTTTCATACTCTAATTATTGCCCTCAAATTTGGGGTTAAGGAAGGGAAGGCTGAACAAAATTTAAAGTTTTTACTACTCCCAGACATTTTAGCAAAGCATTTTATATGATATAAGCATAAACTTTTGAAAAAAGTTTAAAGCTTGCTCAGTATCTGAAAGTTATCTTTCTCAATCATTAAGAAAAAACGTTTCTTGTAATGTTTAACAAAGCGTTATACGATAATAATAATAATAAAAAAACAAGTCCTTGTGATATTTAACAAAAAGTTTATTTAATTTATAATCAAAACTTCAATCATAAATTTTTTTAATCTATAATTTTCAAAACGTTATGCTAATTTCCAGACAACGGATTGTTATTTCGACGGTTTTTTTTCCAAAATATGTCAAAATATTCAAAAACTTTTTTTTTTTAATTGTAAATATTTTAATTCCAAATACAAATGAAAAATTTCTGTCAATAAAATAACATGTAAAATAAAGAACAGCTTTCTTGCTTTTGTCATCAAACGATCTCTGTTCATGCCGCTAAGTGAGACTTAGTAAAGATTAATTTTAAATCATGAAACAAAATTGTAACGTGTTTTAAATATTTGTCAATTGAATTTCAAAAAAGACATCAAAACTTAGAGAATCAAACTACTGTGTTTTTTCAAATAGAATTTTTTTTTAATATTTTGTATATATTTCTAAATTAAAAAGCAACTTTAGATTAAACTCCAAATTTACCGAGTACCGAGTAAAACTGCCAGTTTAATCCTGCACTTCAACGTTGGCTTTTAGTTCATTTTTTTTTTTTCCTGTTAGCATTATTATTATCTTAAAATGGTTCAACTAGTCACAAATAAATGAATATAAAAATCCGTTACACAACTTATTTTTAAGCTTACTGGCTAATACACCAAACAGACAAAAACATTATAGAACAAAAAATAATAATTAACAAGAAAAAAAATTTAAATAGGATTAGAAAACATTCTTCACAACACAATATTAAATTTTCCAAGATTTTCTAGCAATCAATTGATAAGTGTTTTAAATTTGCAAATCTGTATAACTTGGGCTATCTTGTATCTAGGACCCACTCTCCTTTTATTTTATTTAATTGAAATTTAACCGATACTGTTATTGAAAAAGTTTGGTGCTGCAATCTCTAATAGGAAGCCGATGACTTGAAATGGTTGAGTATCGTGTTTAACTTTTGAAATTATAAATGTAATTGAATAAAAAAATATTTAAGCTTACCAAATGAAGTGACTTGAAATGTGCCGCTTTCAGTAAAACGTAAATGTGACCATTGCAAGTACCATTTTTCCAAATGTTTTAATTATGGCTTTAAAATAAAAAAGTAATAAATAATGAACCAAAGTGTTAAAGTCTATAAATTATACAAAATTATTTAAATTGATTAATACATAAATACATAGACATAAGTAAATGTATTTATTTTCGAATTACAATAGAATGTTTGCAAATTTATTTTACATCTTAAACACTCTATGCAAACATTCTAAACATTCTACCTTTGCATTCAAGAGCCTTTAAAAAGTTTTTCAACAACAACAAAATATATATATATATATATATATATATATATATATATATATATATATATATATATATATATATATATATATATATATATATATATATATATATATATATATATATATATATATATATATATATATATATATATATATATATATATATATATATATATATATATATATATATATATATATATATATATATATATATATATATATATATATATTATCATATTTACTATTATCTAAATTTTATAAATACTTCAAGTTTCAATCAAATAATTTTTTTTTAATTCACCAAGTTTTAATTCTCTTGGGTATAAGACTCTTCAATTCTATTATCTTGGGTCCCAAAGACTCCCAAAGTTTTAATACTAAAAGACTCTCAAAGTTTTAATAAAAATAAAACAACAGTTGTTGTTGCAATCAATACAAAAGTAAGTTTTTATTCTAAACTTAAAAGTTGATTTATAGAAGATTGTTAAAAAACCTTACTTTTGAGATTTACTAATAATTGATAATGCTTAGTTAAATATATTTAAAACTAAAAAAATGCTAGTTAGGCGTTCCCAAACCAAAAAGTGTTTTTATTGGTTTTACCTTTCAAACTATTTTTTTTGAACTCAAATATATTTCTGTGTGTTGATTTTGATAATCCTAATACTCATTTTGGTGTGTTGACTTTAATAATTCTAGTCAATAACTCTAGTCTATCCCTGATAAATGAAAAGTATATTAATATTAGAAAAGATCTAGTTAAAGCACTTAGTAACTTTTTAAATTTATGTCTTTGTTTGATACGTGTTGTTATTCTTTTTATTTTTGATCCTTAGACTTTTGTTTTGTGTTCTGAAGGTTGATATTTATAAAAAATTTTAAAACTCATGATTTTCAATAAATGAAAATTAAATATTTCCATGCTTTTAAATGAATGTTTAAGCGAATAGCGCTTCTTGCTATTTTTAATAATAGATGTTTTATTTAATATTTAACTACTTTTACATTTGTTTGTTTTATATAGTTAATGGAATTTATTATTTTTAAATTAAGCTTTATATTTACGGAGTTTATCAAGATGCTTGGCGATAAGAAATATTAGTCTTCTTCTTGCCCATGCTACCTAATGTCTTGTTAGTAACTTAGGGAATATATATATTTACATAGCAAGAAAAAAAAAGTCCTTATTTTGACGTGTTAGTTTCAATAACCCTAGTCCTTATTTTAATGTTTTGATTTCAATAACCCTAATCTTCATTTTGGTGTGTTAATTACAATAACTCTAGGTACTGCTTTTAACAACCCTAGTCTTCATTTGAAATTTTTTTTAAATATAGCCATTTATAAGAAGAAAAAAGTAGTTTTAATCTGAGTTATTTTATTTATTTTTTTTGGCTCTAAGTTTAATCAGCTGTCTAAGCTGGATAACATATATGTAGGATTAATAGACAATGTTTTATTTGAAAGAGGTTTTTTATTTAAAAGAAAACAAACTGAAAAAAACATTTTGATAATTTTTTTCTAATTTTTATAACAAAACATTGTTGCAAATTTGGCAGTGCATATTTTATTTAATTTTGAGCAAAAAGAAAACTTTTTGCATATATGTATATATATCTATGTATATATATATATATATATATATATATATATATATATATATATATATATATATATATATATATATATATATATATATATATATATATATATATATATATATATATATATATATATATATATATAAATATATATATATATATATATATATATATATATATATATATATATATACATATATATATATATATATATATATATATATATATATATATATATATATATATATATATATATATATATATATATATATATATATATATATATATATATATATATATGTGCGTGTGTGTGTGTGTATAGATAATTGTGTTTTTCTAAAGACAAAAATAAAATACAACTCAAAAACCATGTATTACGAAAAAAAAAGTGGTAATGATTGAAATTTATTTTAAAACAAAAGATACTTTGTATTATTGGTTAATCTTATTGAAATACAAAATTAAATTTTTTAATATATATTAGTTCTTAACATAACATTCTGTTTTCATAATTGAACTTTAACTAGTCGTTGAATAAAATATAGATTTTTTTTTATCTTAATGTTTCATTATTTCTTTAAAATTATTTTGAAAAATAATGAAACCATAAGTCAAAAACCTTTCTAATTTAATCTAAAAAAAATCTAATTTAATTTAAAAAAAGTGTTAATACTCTAAATATTTCTTAAAACAGAAGATACCATTGATACTATCGATAGTATTGAGCAATCGAAACTATCTATTGCTGGTTATTTTACTAAAAGACAAAGCAAACCTTTCAAAAATATAGATAATTGATAACATAAAATTTCGTTTCGAAATGAACTTTAATTATTGTTATTATTTTTTTTCTGAATGTTTCATTAATACTCTAAAAAAATTAAACTTAAAAAGATTAAAAAAGAAAAAAAATTAAGAAGGAAATAAACTCCTACTTTCGAAATAACAAAGTATTCACAACCGATTATTTAAAATGCATCCTTGCTATTATAGTCAATCAGCGGCTCATCGATTTCTTGAATAGTATGGATGGCCACTTGATCTTATGTAGTGCTGCTAATCGGTACAGAATTTGTAATGCATTGATTCGCTTTCTCGGAATCCAATGTAAGGTGTTATGGCAGGCAACGAATTGAATAACATGGGCATAATTTTTTAAGTGATGATTATGTTTTGGAGATTCAGATAAGAGCATCTTAACTCATCAATCTTTGAAGAGTGGTTCTAATAGAGGATATTTTTAAAGTTTACGAAAAAAAAAAGTTTACAAAGTGTTTTAGTGAATGGAAACGCCAATTTTTTTCTTGGCATTTCCATTCATTAAAATACTTTTTAGTCAAATATTGAACTAAATCAACATTTTACAAAGCCTTGTTGCAGTCGTTTCTTGCAAATCGCTTATCATGAAATGGCTTTTGCTGAATGTTTACAATTTTTGGTTGCTCTGTTTCTGTTGGCTAGTCAAGACTAAGGCTCTTGAATAAGCAGTTTATTACCCAAGAAGCAAGTAAAACTTTGTGGGTGGAAGAAAATATAGAGTACCATTTGGATTTTTAAAAACTAAGACTATTAGCAAAATTATTAGCATTACTTATTAAAAGTTAATACTTTAAAAATTCAATTGATTCAAGTTTACATTTAACTTATTAGCAAACATGTTTTTTATGTAAAAGATTGTTACGAAACAAATTTATAAAATAAGCATGCTATAGAAATAATAGAAGAATATAAAACTCAACAAATGGAACTTGATAATGGGTTCATAAACAACATTTTAGAAGTCTCTTGCTCTCGTGGTGTTGGCTTCGGCAGCTTTAACTTATACCCATCAGTGTCACTTGATAAAGCAACTCTAAGAGTAGTTTATCAAGTGGCACTAATGTGTATAAATCATATCAATAAATGTAAGACCTACATTTATTGATATATTAAACAAAGATAGAGCTGATACAATACAACGAACTAAGTTATTTTTAGTGCACATTCATAAACTAATTGATCTCTGTATTAGAAAGTTTTATTTTTTTTTATGGAAAGAATCTAATGCTCTTCAACAGGCTTTAAACGTCAATACTGCAACAAAAGCCTTTAAACGTTATTTTGATGATAGTTATGCTAGATTTCCTAGTTTTAATGACGCAAATTTTTTTTAACATTTTTAAATTCACTAGATAAATTTATCCAATATACATGGGAATACAAAAATGCTTAACACCAATTAAACTTTTTAGATGTTTGTATTTCAACCAATCACTTTCTTTACAAATATGAGTTTTCTATACACTGTAAGGATGCAATTACAAACGTACTTATAAAACCAAAATTATCTATTTCACTGAGTGTTGCAGTTAATATTTTAAAATGTTTTTTAGCTAGAGTATACAAAATAATTTCAGAACATAACATTCAATTTTCTTTTTAAGATTTTTACTGAAAATTGACATTCATATAAACAATATTTTATAAATTCTAAAAATTATAAATATTGCACAAATCCATCTTATTCTCAAAAAATTGGTATCAAAAATCTAGTTATTTTACTGTGGGTCCGAAAATTAAGCCTTGTTTTTAAAAGACAATTTCGTAAAGTTTGATTTAAAACCGTTCTTTGTTTTGGTAATCTCTTGATCAATATACTTTGCCGTAATCTAAAGTGCCTCCGAATAGTCATCCAGGAGTGTATCAGCTTGATTGTACATGTGGTGCATGTTTTATTGGTGAAACAAGAAAAAAGAATTCTCCACGAAAATTCAACTGGGATACATTCATTTGAAATAGTAAAACATACACAACATTGTAATGGTAAAACAAACTGGGAGAACCCTAAAACGCTTTCTGTTATTCCAAACAACTACACAAAAGGGTTTGCGAGGCCATTGAAATACAACGCGTGCAACGTTTAAAATCTAAAGAAAACGTCTTGAATCGTGACAGCGGCAATTTGGTGATGACTCACCATTGGAAACCACATTTTATAAAAATAAAAAGGGGTCGTCCGCAAGTTATGTCAATTTGTGGAGGACGCCTTTTTAATTTTATAAAAAAGGCAATTTTTGACCGTTATAAACCTCTTTCCTCCCCGTTGTCACAACATCGAAAGCCTTTAGTAACAAGTTCCGTAAGAGTCTTCACAAAACCACAAACACTAAAAAGCGTGACGTAATTTCTGGACAACCCAAAAATGTTGAATATCTGTCGTTGAATGACATTAATTTGTTACTTTCGTTTTAATGTTTTTAAAGTTTTTTTTTAACGTTTTTATTGGTTTGATAATGGCTCTCGCTATATGAACTGAATGAACTATATATCACTTAAAAAAAGAAATAAATAGTATGACAGCATTTTAATGCTTATAATATATATATATATATATATATATATATATATATATATATATATATATATATATATATATATATATATATATATATATATATATATATATATATATATATATGTATGTATATATATGTATATATATAAATAAGTAGACTACACGGGTAAAACCACAGATGTCAAATTTTTGTCTTATTGAGAAAAATGAAATTTAGTGTTTAGTGACATTAGATATCTGTTTAATAATAATATATTTAATAAAAAGTGTATTTTTATGACATTTTAGTCCTAACACAATATATAAATGCAGTTTTTGTGCTTAATACAAGAATTATTTATTCACAGTGTTCTTTCGAAAACAAGGCACTCATTTAGGACATCTGTGATTTTTCTGTTTTAAAATCATCAACTCTTAAACCACGTTAGCATGTAACCTTTTAGAACACTTATTTTTTAAAGGTAGATGGTAACACATTGTAATATACAACCACAACGTACAAAGTGTGTGATGGGATAATAAAGCCGTTTTCCCTCCCCCCACCCCCTTCCTTCTTTTCAAAAAAAAAATTGAAAAAAAAAATTTATTTGACAGTTTTTTTTCAACTTACAAACAACCTTACAAAATACCTTTACAACCTTATCTCTTCCCAAACCTCATTTACCATAGATAATTTCATGATGTCAGTACTAAAATATCATAAAAATATATAAAACTTGAAATTTTCATAAAGTGGACATCTGTGGCTTTAACCGTATGGTCTTCATATGTATATATATATATATATATATATATATATATGTATATATATATATATATATATATATATATATATATATATATATATATATATATATATATATATATATATATATATATATATATATATATATATATATATATATATATATATATATATATATATATATATATATAATCAGTTACAGATAATGTTAGTTACCAATTTCGAATAACGTTTGATAGAAATGTTGCATACCTAATCTTTGTTTATCCAAACTAAACTTTCTTTATTTTTTGCTTGTTTCCCTTATTAATTAATTAATTTTTTTAATGAAACTCTAAATTAAAAAAAATGTAAAAAATGTATAAAAAATTAAAACGTCTTAACTGGTGCATATCAGAAAAAAAAGATTGTATCAGATGAATCAAAAAAGACATCTAATACAAGATTTTCTATAAAACGTCTTTTAGCTGTCTCATTTTTATCTTACATGTCTTAAAATTTACATAAAAATTAGACGTCTCATCTGCGCCTAACAGATGTCTGAAAAAAGAAAAATTGTGATTGTCTGAAAGGCGTTTTTTAGTTGTCTAATTTATATCTTAGGTGTCTAAAAACGTCGAGAGAAAAAAGACACTAATATGACGTTTTAATAGATGTCAATGTAACGTGCACGCTAGACGTGCCCGCTGGGATGCAATAATGAGGCATTTTAGCTATTTTCCCAAAGAAAACTCGACATTTTATTTATTTTTTTTAACTCAAAATTTTACTAAAAGAAAACATCGAGCCTAAGCAAAACTTGTTCAAAATATTTCAACGCAATGAAATTTGCGTCACAAACCGGAAATAGAATTTTATTTACATTTCTTAAATTATTTTTTTTAACTTTAATTTTTTAAATTAAGTTGGTAGTTCCTAATTAAAAAAAGATTGATTGAAATTTTTTGGAGAACTGTATAGAGAACTGTATAGAGAACTGTATAGAGAACTGTATAGAGAACTGTATAGAGAACTGTATAGAGAACTGTATAGAGAACTGTATAGAGAACTGTATAGAGAACTGTATAGAGAACTGTATAAAGTTCTATATGGAGAACTGTATAGACAACTGTATAGAGAATTGTATAGAGAACTGTATAAAGTTCTATATGGAAAACTGTATAGACAACTGTATAGAGAACTGTATAGAGAACTGTATAAAGTTCTATATGGAAAACTGTATAGAGAACTGTATAGAGAACTGTATAGAGAACTGTATAAAGTTCTATATGGAGAACTGTATAGAGAACTGTATAGAGAACTGTATAGAGAACTGTATAAAGTTCTATATGGAGAACTGTATAGAGAACTGTCTAGAGAACTGTATAAAGTTCTATATGGAGAACTGTATAGAGAACTGTATAGAGAACTGTATAAAGTTCTGTCTAGAGAACTGTATAGTGAACCAAGATTATTCTTCTAAAATATTTTTTATTTACATTTATAAAAAACAAAAAGAATATAATAAATAAACATGCTTTAATGTTCAAGAAAGAAAACTATCGCTTTATAACTCTTTGATACCGGTAAACTAAATTAATCCGGATAAGTAGAAAAAACTCTGGTTTTCTAAATATTTGAATATTTTTTAATTATACACAAAAATAAATATATGATGTCAAGTGTAAAAATTATTTCTAAACTTTTAATTGTTCTCGGATTTTTAACCTATTTTCTTTATTGGTAGGAATCCGACGCTTAGTGCGCTAGAATACTATTTATCTTGCGTTAGATCGAATGTTTGAACTAAAGAAACCTCTAATCCTCGAAGCTTACTACTTTCAATTGCATATATGGGTAGAGATACCCATATATGCAATTGAAAGTAGTATGCTTCGAGGATTAGCTGATAGATACTCATTGAAAAAAAAAAAGTTAACAAATTTCTTGAAAGTTCTAAAAAAAATCCTAAAAAATCCTCAAAAAATAATTTAAAAATATAAAGGCTAACGAAAATAATATGACAAACTCCTCAGATAGTAAATAATTGTGAGCTATTCAGAACCAACAATTAGTTAATCAACCACTGACTTTAATTTCGAATAGTGATTTAAAAGATAATAATTTAGTTATCACTACCAACGAAATTGAGTTTTACTGCAATGAAAATCTTTTTAACAAATATGTTCATTGAAATGGCGGCAATCATACAAGATTCAATTTTGTTTAGTAGAATTAGAAAAATCTAAATAAACCACCTTCTACTGGTGTGAGAGAAAAACTCTTTAAAATTGGAAGAGACGCGTTCACTTTAAAAAGAAGTTGTTTAATTTCAGGTCATGCAAACTGCTAAGATTTTCTTTGACTGCTTTGATGTCACAATGGGTTATTTTGATGGAGCAGAAGTTTGTGAACTAGTGAACCTAATTATATTAGATTCATTATCTAAAGTAATAAATAAAGAAGACGTTGGACTATATCGTGACGATGGCCTGATGGTACTTCTTAAAAAACTGGATCACAAATTGATAGCATACGAAAAACATAATTAGAGTTATAAAAATGATCGGTTTTAAAATAGAGATCCAAACAAAACAAAATCAACTTCTTAGATGTATCCTTTAACTTAGAAAAAATCTCCTACCAATCTTTCAAATAACCAAATGAATATCTACCTTACATTCACACTGATTCCAACCAACCTCCGCAAATAATAAAGCAAATCCCCATCTCTATCAACGACTGACTATCAGAAAATTCCTCAAATGAAAAAACATTAAATTTATCTATACCAGAATACAAAGAAGAATTAAGAAGAAATGGCTTCACTGGTTTTAATTTAAAGTAAATACCCCAAAAAAGGAGAAAAAAAAGAAAAGAAAAAGAAAAGAAAAAGAAATATAATATGGTTCAACCCCCGTATAGTAAAAGCGTTTCTACCAATGTCGGACATTTTTTTGACAAATCTTCCTAAACTTAATCGACAAACATTTTCCAACATCCCACCCCCTAAGTACTATTCAATCGAAACACCATCTAAGTGAGTTACAGCTGCACCAAAAATATTGAAAGAATAATAAAAAACCACAATAAGAAAATCAGTTCAGAAAGACTAAAAGAATACCACTCTGCAATTGCATAAATAAAGAAAACTGTTCTACAATAGGAAAATGTTGAGTCTATAATGTTATTTATAAATATGTGGTGTCCCCCCCCCCCCTAACACTTCATTAAAAGTATATATTGGCCTAAATATATGCGATAGCAAAATTAAATTTATATATATATATACATATATATAAATATATATATATATATATATATATATATATATATATATATATATATATATATAAATATATATATATATATATATATATATATATATATATATATATATATATACATGTATATATATATATATATATATATATATATATATATATATATATATATATACATATATATATATATATATATATATATATATATATATATATATACATATATATATATATATATATATATATATATATATATATATATATATATATATATATATATATATATATATATATATATATATATATAGTATATATATATATATATATATATATATACATATATACATATATGCATATATATGCATATATATATATATATATATATATATATATATATATATATATATATATATATATATATATATATATATATATATATATATATATATACAGAGACGATTTTACGGGGGTGTGGGGGTTGTCGGCTAGTAAAAAAATTTGACACTATTCAGTCGGATAAATTTTAATTTTGAGGACCTTTTTTTTGTTTTACGAAGCCAGTCAGTATTTTTTAAGGATTTATCTCCCCCCCACCTCCCATTTTATTTGTAGAATCGCTTCTGTGTATATATATATATATATATATATATATATATATATATATATATATATATATATATATATATATATATATATATATATATATATATATATATGCATATATACATATATATATATATATATATATATATATATATATATATATATATATATATATATATATATATATATATATATATATATATATATATATATGCATATATACATATATATATATATATATATATATATATATATATATATATATATATATATATATATATATATATATATATATATATATATATATATATATATATATATATATATATATATATATATATATATATATATATATTAGGGTTATGACTTTTTCGTGGACCCATGTTCCTGGGTCATAAATTGATTAATAACTCTACAAAAGTAACATTAAACCGATTTCCTTGTTAAAAAAGGTCACCCACAAACCAAAAATTTTAATTTACGACATATGCGTATGCATAAAATTTCAAACAGTTTTATGATCGTTATTTTTTAGTTCTGAATTTTTTAATTGGAAAGTTATTATATAGTTTTTAAGCATTTAACAGTAAGTTGTTACGTCACAATATTTAACAGTTACCTGTTACATCATAATATTTATGTTACAAATAAGTATAAAATTGCAAACTTAAATAACAATTCTACAAGTACAAAAAGCTAATGTATCAAATATATAATATATTTAAAAAAAATGTATTAAATGTATAATATATCAAAAAAATGTTGTGTAGTATTCAGCTAAGTAACAAACAATTCTTATGCTTTGTTTAAACGTAATAAACAATTCTTATGCTTTGTTGGACAAAATAAATCTAAGCTGGAGATTTTCTTTCTTTTTACAGATGTCAGATGTCATAAAGATTTTGAAGACACTTGATTGCTCGTTCTGCACACTGATTTGTTCTGGAAATTTCCAGTCTCGATAGTTTCTGATTCCAAAACTTTTTCACTAAATTTAACACTTTTTTGTCATTGAGCAAGCAGCTACATAGCTACCGATAATCATCTGCTTTGTACATTTGATCAGTAAAACAATGGTCCACCCACTTGTAAAAGATGAATCCATAAATGTCAATTAGTGAATCCCTTTTCTCTGGTAGAAGAATAAATACCAAAAAAGGTAGTATTGCTCGGGAATTCCATTTCTGTATCATTAATGTAACCATTTAATTGAGGTATTTTCTAAAAGTTCACTTTAGGAAATACTCAGGGTTATTTTAAAAAGAAAAATACCTTTGTTCAGGAAAGTTCATATTATCACGCTATTTCATATTACCCTGCAATTTCAGTAATCACTTCTTTACCATTCTTGAAATTCATTTTGAGCTGTTCGTAGTTCTTTACAAGTTTCAGTATGAACGGATATTCGATATTAGGCATTATGTTTTTTTCGTTAAGTTTTTCACCCATTACTACTCGAAGGACTTAGCCAAGAACAAGATGTT